TTTAGTGTTTAAGGTCTAATGTTAAAATTGATAGCTCTCAATTATACTGTAATGTTGAATGACTGTAGTCAATGGTTAAATATTAGTGGACAAAACAATTTCCCCTATCAGATATCAGTGATGCTCGCCTTCAGTCATAAAAAAGATGCTATTAAACAAATATAAAAAATATACTGTTCTTTGTCGTTTCTACATAAATTTGAAGATTGAATGTGATTATTATTGCAATATAAAGGTATATTTAAAAACTTAAATGTTAGGTGTGATTAATCACGATTCATTTCAGAAAAAAGTACGATTAATTAGTTAATTTTTTTTTATCGATTGACAGCACTAATATATATATATATATATATATGATAGAAAACTCACCTGTGCATCATCTACGTCCACTTTGAGGAAGACCACATTAGCATAGGAAGGATTTTCAGACAGGCCCTGAAGTGAGGAATTACAATGAGAAATTGAGTCAAATAAGTCCATTCCAAAGACTCAAATATAGTGACTTAAAGTTGGTTCCTTACTTTGTAAAAAGGTGCGATGCTCTGACAAGGCCCACACCACGTGGCTGTAAAATCAACCACTACAAGCTTATCACCTGCCTCAGCAAGAGCTTTGTCAAAGCCATCCTGTGAACACAAGTCAATGTTCAATGTTGGATTTCATGCTGTGTCATCATTGCAATGTGCTATTCTTTAAAATAAGATGGTGTTGCTGTGGGCCCTTGTTTTTTTTCAACACAAAAGAAGATACTTTGAAGAAATGTTGCTAACCAAACAGTTGCTGGTAGCCACTGATTTCCGTAGAAGGAAAAAATACTATGTAAGTCAATGGCTACCATCAACTGTTTGGTTAGCAACATTTCTTCAAAGTATCTACTTTTGTGTTGAGCAGAAGAAATTAATACAGGTTTGGAACTACAAGAGGGTGAGTAAAAAAAAAAACATTCTTGGGAGAACTATTACTTTAACTGAATGGAGTAAAATAATTGTTTGATTAATTTTATACTTTATGAGTATGTCATTTGCTATCATTAAACTGTATTTAAATATATACTGACTACATGCCGTCTAGGTAACAACACAAAACCACATCGGTAGACCACTAAGGCCAACAATTTTGTAAGAATATTACATTATTTATCAGTAACAGACGGAATCAAATAATAAGGCGCATCTGACTACATTAAAACAAACAGTAAGAGAAAGTCAGTATACCGACATTTAATGACGTCCTTGTATACCGTATTTGCCTTATTCACTGCGGCAAATGATCAAATGCTGCTGTGCAAAAAAAAAAAAAAAAAAGTTTATATAAAATAAACAGACCCTCAGAAGAGTCAAACACACGTGACTTGATGGCGCGCTTCATCAGGCCGCGATCACCGAAACAAACTATAAATGCTACAAGAGCTTGCTAATTTAGTTATCTAGGTTACACTATGAATGAGAACGTTTATTTCAACCGTAGGTTTAGACCACGCACACTCCCGTTATCGTGAGCTGAAAGTTACGTAACGAAGCGGCATGCCAGCTGCCGCAAAACTATGCCATGATATTTCACGTGCGTTGGTTCATAATTTTACAACACGATTGTTGCAGTGCAAATAACGTAAAATGAAAGCGATATTTTATGGGCGAAAGCTATGCATTTTTAGCTTTCGGGTGCCGTAGTGGCTAGGTAACGTTATGTTAGACATTAGCTGGTGTAAAGAATTGGTTAGCAGATAGGCTAACTATATCTTTTACAACCACAATCTGAACTGATTTATTATTTAAGTTTATTGCTTGCTAATACTTTGTGAATTCTCACGCACAGCTGTTGAATTTTCAACTAACTTAAACGAAAACGGTTTGATGGGCAATTATAGGCTCTCGTGCAGTTACTCAGCAAAACGTGTCCTCCCTAGCCATACCGCGCGATTTTGCTAATTTTGTAAAAAAATAAAATTATGTGAGTGTCTGTTGAATTAAAGCAGCGCTCTTACCTGATCTTCAATGACGATGATCATTTTATCGCTTTACTGTTGTCTCGAGCTCGGAGAAAAAACCTTCCTTAACTCGCTCGCCCAGAAACGAACCTCCTCCTTCTGTTTCGCCTGAAGCCAGCGTGTAACGTTAGTTAAAGAGCTTCGATTCATTCAGAAAGCCCTGCCCATAAACGCGCTGGCGGACAACAGGCCAGAAATGGCCTCAATGTTTGTGTCTCTGTAATGTGGGAGCAGCACTGGACATTCTTGCTGCAATAGGTTTCTGTAGGTTTTTTTTCCTGTAAAATGTTTCAGGTGTTTTACAGCAGTTGTTCAATGTTAAGTAAATCCACGTGTACATTCGACAAGTTCTCAAGCAGTTAAAACTGTAAAACAAATCCGTCAAACCTATTTATATGGATAGGATATTGTTCTAGCTTTGCATTATATTTTTAGCTGCATTTCGTTATTTGCATTGTTTTTTCCCAACCCCTTTTACATTTGCATAAACCACACTGTGATTTACAATTTAACAATTCACTTATGTTAATTTTACAGTGACTACATTTATATTAAAACACATGTTAGAAGCCAGTAATTGTACTTTCTACACTCTAAAAAATGCTGGGTTAAATACAACCCAGTGCTGGGTTAATTAGGGACAAACTCCCTATTTTACCCAGCACTGGGTTGTATTTAACCCAGCATTTTAACTTGTTTTGAACTGATATAATTGGAGTAGTTTCGGATTATCACAGTGCAGATATTTTTTATCTAATAAACTTGTCTTTTTTGGAAACGGGTATGAAAAAAAATAAAGGTGTTCATAGAATATTCATGTTAAAATAAAAATTAATATTTAATTGACTGCCGGTAATGATTGACATCTACTAAAAATAATTAGTAAATGATAAATTAATAAATATACATTTAAATTTCATTGATTTACATAGGTAATTCTCATGTCTAGTTCCATGCACTGTTCCTTTTTTCTGCTCTTTTGGACAGCTTTCCATTTCACTCAGCCTGTTCTGTGATGTCTCATTCCATCCCATCCCATTCAATCATGTTAATCATTTTCTTTGAACACTGATGAAAATACATGAGATGATGGTGATGAGTGTGTTGTTATAGGATCTGGAATAATTAGGCCTTGCTCTTTGAAGTCTCTTGAGTACGATGTTGCCACAGATACCAAACACGACCTCTGTCCTTCTCTTTCTGTTGCATCCTTCATCCAGGCTAGTAGCTATTCAGAGATTCCAGGTGTTTGTCTCCATCATTTGGAAAGGATGCTTCCATTTACAGCTGCTTTCAGGTCATATGAAGGCGGTTGCATAGTATTAAAAGTTTGTCCGATATATGAACATAATGTTAGTTTAATAATGAGATCTAAGATGTCCTGTGACGGTTTTCACAGTGGAACATAGAAACAACCAGTTTCATAAAACAACACAGATCTGTTCACACATCACACTGAAATGATGCTAAAGATTTTGGAATGGTATTACAACAAAATGTTTCAAGAAAATGTTCCTACAAATGAAATATTAAATTAATTGAATTGTTTTACAAACACCTGGATGAATGAAAACCCTCACAGATATATTGCCATAATTAAAGAGTAAAATTTTTGCTCAGAGTATTTCACAAAGCGTTTTAGCTCTAAAACTACCTAAATCTGTGAAAGGTTAGGAGTAGTGAAGAGGACTCCTAAGTTACTAAGATCAAACCACAAACTATCCTAAAATGGCTGTTGCCGGCAATCTGCCTCTTAATGTAAACATTTTAAATTGTATCCAATTTAAAAGCCAACACAGTTTTACAGAAAGACTATAATTCGTTTTTTTGTTGTTGTTGGGTAACCTTGATGAAAGCCTCTCCTATCTAATCAGTTTGCAGCTCTAGAGTGTTCATTATAAAGTGGACCTGTCTTGCTTTGTTTACTGTTTCCTAGGTGCTTTGGATCTCCGCTGTAGACAGCGTAACAAATGAATCAGAAAAAAAGAGAAAGAAATAGACTGAAAACATGGAAACAGTCCCAATATAGGAGACAAACTAACCTGGAGGCAAAAGAGTGACAACTGATCACTCCCTAAGAGTAAAGACTTGAGATGTGAATGTTTAATTAGCTCAATTGAGGTTATAATAGTAGTAATATTAATACTTGTACCTAAAACTACTTATTTGCTAAAACAGTACCACTACTACTTCGACTCGGACTGCAATTATGATTATATATATGATAAGATAACAATACATAAAGGTCTCCCACTCAAACTGAATTGGTTAAAGAATCTGACCCACTATTAAATGTCATACATTTAAAAAAAAATGTTAAATAGTAGTGTAGACATGACATAGTGTGAACATAATGCTACCTAGTGGTCAAGTAGTCCTATGGTCAATAAATATATTTCTATGGGCTAACATCACCCCAAAATAATGTTGAAAAGCGAATATTTGCAATTTTGTAAAATGTAAAATGTTTGACAACCTAAAATGTGCTTGATGTAGTATCTAAATTAAACAATTTTATTGTATTTACAGGTTACACCACTATTTTATCAAGTATTTTTAGAGATAATATAATTTATAAATAGCAGTGTGTGTGTGTGTGTGTGTGTAAATGTGATGCTTTCAACAAGTGTTTTTTTTTTAATCAAAGCTTTTGTTTTGAATTTTGTGATATGATTTACAAAAAAGGGGAGAGAAGGAAGAATAAGTCTTCAGTTTTGTGAAATATTCTAACTATATCCAACAGAGTTATTTGACTTAATTAATAAATGCATGCAATGTCATCTGCTGTCCTTTTTTAAACTTATTTTAATTATTTTGTTATTTATTTTATTTTTTTATTATTTTTAAATAATTTAATTTAATTTGTTTATTTTTAATTATTATTATTTAACAATATATTGATGATATACGTTTATGACATGCTGATTATTTATGTTTATGTTGCTAAGAATTCAGACACATATATATTAGGAAAATCAAAAAATATACAAGTATAACACTTAATGTTCGGGAAATTTTTATTTTTATTTTTTTTATTTAGTGTTACTGCTTTAGGCACATTATTTAATACGTCAGCACATTACAAAATGTTCGACCAGATTTTTCATAGAAACCAACAACAAAATATGAGTAATAAAGGCCAAGAAAACTGCCAATGCCCAGCATTTAAATGCCCCAGCTTGATATTTACTTCTAAATATGACTGATTTATGCCCGTCTTCCTACTAACACACTGAAATCTGCTTATGGCAAAGGATATTCTAAAGTTTAAATAGATTTGTCACAAGAAAGAGCCTGCTCTTGATAAGCCTGATAAGCCTGTTAAGAGGAAACAGTGAGCAGCACAAATGTGTGTTCAAACATCCTTGTTTTAGTGCATAAAACAAAAACAAAAAAAGTATTTTTCACATAGTTATAAAATTAATAGATGTCTCATGTAAATATCTCCATTTATTTGTTCTGGATCCAGCATCCATTCCATTTCTTATGAATGAAATAAAGTAATATCAAGTTTACATATAGGTAAACACAAATGCAGGCCTCTAAAACATGTCAGTTAATGTAAAATGCATTCTGCACTTATAAGGGAGAATGAATGTCACTAAGCTTTGGATGGTTACACATGCTGTATATGTGGTACAGTATGTGTTGTTGGTTATGTGGTCCTGTTGTTGCAGACGCATGAGGTGGATTAAGGCTTGGCTGTTGTCTTGCCTGGTTCCCTCCAACCACCAATAGCTTTCTCCAGGTAGAGGGCAGTGGCCAAAGAGAGACGGTCCTGTAATTTACCAGTCACAATCTGTACGCCCAGGGGCAAACCCTCCTCACTCAGCCCTAATGGACACTGGGTCACTGGCAAACCCAGGATATTAAAGATACCTGCAGAGAACAGAAGCGCTTAGAGACCAAACTCCCCAGGAACATGGTCTATAATAAGTAGATTATGAGTAGATCACAACCAACTACACTTACCAGTGTAACAGAAGTTGAAGGGTGTGAAAATTGGGTGGTGGTGTTTGGGAGAGATCTGGGGATGAGAGGGGTACAGCAGCACTCCGTCTGTGCCCAGCAACTCCTCCAGCTCCTGCTGCAGACTCTCCTTCTGCTGTAAAACGAATGGAGATGGATGGGAACTCTGGAACAGCTCAACTAGCGCAAGACCTGAGAAAGAGAGACAGAAAGGAACATTATTATCACATGCATTCATCTTCAGATACATAACTGGCAAAAAAAAAGTCGTTGCCAGAATTTTGGGAATGCTCATCACAAGAAGACACTGGCAGCATTGATTTGCATCTCATGCCAATAAAGTTAATCAGATATGGATGGAAGGATGAGTCAGTCAGTCACAGTTAAAAGGGCACAAGCTCATTTGCTCCGTCACACACCTATTGCTGCTATGGTATGAGAAGAAAACCCCAGAAGCCACTTGAACAGCTCCCAGACAGGCCAAATCTTCTTCCCGCCTTCACTCATTAGCTCTGCAAAGGTGGTGGGAGGCTGAGATGGGGAAAAAAATGACAAAACAATCTCATATAAATATGTTGACAACTAGAACATTATTGATGTTATACAGTACCCTAACATACAGTATGAAAATTATATGCTTACATTAGGAAAGTATGTACAGTATATTAAAATGAATAACAGACAATATGCTAATAAACTAAGACATCTAAACTTATTTATAACTTATTCAATTTTAATATCAGAATGTTATCGAGAAGAAGAAAAAATATATATATAAACAAAAAATGTAGAAATCAATCTGCATATATGATGGACATCAGTTATGATCATCTTTGGTATCTCCTTTAAAAGCATCTTGAGTAAAATAGCTCCATATTTAACAAAGCACATACAAAAAAACTGAACCAGAAGCGACAAGACCAGTTTTACAGAATACAGACGTTTGTTTCAATAACCCCCATTATTTACCCAACAGCAAAACCATTAAACCCCATCCTTAACAGGCTGGAAATAAAGAGCTAAAGTCAGTGAGAGACTGAAAGTTAGCTTATCGGTGTCAATCTCACATTCATTTTGATGAACTCATTTGTCATCCTTTGAAACTGACTTCCATCTTTAAAAATTTTGGGGTTTACTATTTTATCCAGTATATCTGTATAATTATTATTCAATAGATTCATTGATGAGGATATGAAAATTATAATGGCAAAAAACACACCTTTCCATCCTTGCCAGGTGAGGCCATCATAGTTCCCCAGATCTGAAAGGAGTATTTGAGCTGAGGGATAAACAGCTCTTGGACCTTGACCCCAAGGTCTGCTTCTAAACGTCTGACAACCTAAAAAAAAAAACAAGAGCCCATTATGAGAGGAAAATCATTTGAAGCCGATCCACACACACCCACTTACCATTTTCTGTGCCTGAAGCAGCTGTGCGTCAACTGGAGAGACCAAATGAGAGCCTCCATTGTGGGGAACAGAGAAGAACCTCAGCTTTTTCAAATCTACTTCAGCAGAGAGACACAATCTACCAGAAGTGAAAGACAGACAGAAAGACAAGTGATGATTTAGGATGCATTTCTAACAGTGGTTGACCAAATTGAAAATAAATAAGTTGAAAGACTGAAATGAAAGCTACCCTATTCATATGTTTTATTTAATTAAATATTAAAAAATAATTTTATTAAGTAATTATTTTAATGAAATTAATACGTTTTATTCAGTGAGGAGGTTACATTATACATTCTAACTGCATTCTAATAGGTTTCATCATGCAGTGAAATCTTTCAGACTCTCAAGACATGTTTTTGTTTTTTTGCAAAGTTAGTGACATAGTCAAAAATTTCAACTTGCACATCATTAAAACAACAACTACAATGATATCATAGGCGATAAATATCGCACACCTCTACTCTCAACAGCAATTCAATACTACAAGTGAATGCTCTCTCCCACCAGCTCAGGTCACTGAATGAGCGACACCTCAATGAAACCTCATTCTCCAAAATCTTCACCCTCTCTGTTCCTCTCTGGTGGAATAAGATGCCAACCTTCACCCAAACAACTTTTTTGTGAAGCAGCTGAAGACACACTTCTTCTGCAAGCATATAACCACTCCACATTCTTAACCAATGCCCTTATACACACACTACACTCACTGCATTTCTCCTCTTCTCTAGCTTGCTTCCTAATCTAGTTGTATAATAAACTTGGCATTGTGTATTATGGATACTGTTGGCTCTTTGACAACTTGCTGTGAGTGGTGTAAGTCCTCTTTTGTAAGTGGCTTTGGAAAAAAGCGTCTGATAAATGCATAAATGTACCGTAGTTGTGAGAAAGTGTGAGAAATTTCACAATATTTTCTGTTTTACTGTATTTCAGTTAAATGCAGCTTAAATGAAATACAGTAAAATAGTGGTGGGCGTACGAGACTAATGACTAACTAAACACTTCTACAGACCACAAACTTTTGAATGGTAGTGTAGATTGCATTTATGTAAAGCTCATATTTGCTTACAATGTTGCTGTGATGATCATATCTATCTAGTCATTTTGTAAATAGCGTTGTATATTACTTATTTGCATTAGGTCCTCCCATGATGCTTAGCATGGGAATCAGGTCTTCAGCATAGCGGCACATAGGTCCTGTACACAGAAATCCCATCTGCAGTCCAGAGGCGGGAGGATACTGACCATCATTGCTTACGATACCTGTATGTACAGAGAAAACATGTAGTTTAATCAAACTTAATCAACATTACTACAATATGTCAAGTATATATAGAAACCATGCCCTCCATCTGTGTCACTATTATTATACTACTTACCAACACATGCACACAACTGCACCCATTCTTCTTACCTGTTGATGGCTTGTGTCCGAAGATGCCATTGAAAAAGCAGGGAATACGGATACTACCCCCAATATCCGATCCAACTCCAATCACAGAGGCACCAGCACCCAATATACTGCCTTCACCTCCTACAATTGAGATTATTAACTACAGTTAATTTTTATTAATGTTGCCCTGGAAGTTATCTTGGACTTATACTGGGAATAGTTTTCAGTTACAGATGCTGTTGTAAAAATGCAGTGCACTATTCAGAGTCGGACATTTTTAATTTATTCTGTGAGCAAAAGTATGGCTGGTCATGTGATCTCAACATGGCAGCCCCCATGAGGCGACAAGCTTAATGGTTTTAAAGCGCTTAAAGCATAAAGCTTTTATTAGGCTACTAATACAGGGTTTCTGCAGGTTTTATGAAGGTCAGTTTAAAACTTTTAAAGACCTTTAACAGACCAAGTACAGAAAATATAAGGACCAAACTGAAGGGATCACAATAAATCAATATGTTCTCTAATTGTAAATGTCCTGGGAGTAGATCTCTATTACTTTTCTATTCATTTTACAGGAAAAAAAGCTTGACTAGAATGAGTAAATAACTTTTACTGTACCTTTGGATCACACTGCAAAAAAAATATGTTCTTCATAATTATTTGTGCCTTGTTTTCCAGTGCAAATGTCTAAAGATTCATAAATCAAGATACATTTACTTGAGAAGAAAAAAGACATAAGAAGTCTTGTTTTCTTAGAAATTGATCAAAATGAAGTGGGTTTATGATTTACACAAAAACAAATATCTGCCTCTGGGCTACAAAATAACTTAATTCAAGGGGAAATCACGTTTTCATACCTCATTAACATATGTTTGTTTTAGCAAAACAAAACTCAATTAACTAAATTTTGTTTAATTTTTCAGAAAACAAGACTTCAAATATTTTCATTTTGCTTCTCAAGCAAACGTCTCGGGTTACACATGTAACCATGGTTCCCCAAGAGGGAACGAGACTCTGCGTCATCTAGCGGACACTTGGGGACTGCCACCAGCAGGACCGGTGTCTGAAGCATGTGTGAAACAACTCCAATCCTATTGGCCCAAGTAGGCCATGACGTCACAGGCAGGCGCCCGGAAGTATAAGAGGGCACCTGCAGAACACATCACCAACTTAGTTGTCTGAAGGAGACGTGAAACAGGTAGGCCGAAGGCATGGTGAGGGGACACAGCATCTCGTTCCCTCTCGGGGAACCATGGTTACATGTGTAACCCGAGACATTCCCCTTCTAGGGAACTCATGCTGCGTCCTCTAGCGGACACTTGGGGAATGAAATGCCAACTATGCCGCTACGCATGCCTGTCAATCTGGTGAGAGAGCACCAAGGAAGTGACAGACATACACCAAACCTTTCCTCAGAAAGGGACCAAGCCACTGACGCCCCGGACCACTCACATAGCTTGGCAGAAATGGGGAACCCAATTTCAGATGAAAGAGGGTGGACATCCACACCAAGCTAAGAACACAGCTACCCTCAGTCAGCTATGTTATGTGAGCAACACCTTAGCCTGATAATTCAAGGACCACAGATAGAGGCTACCTACTTATGGCGCTTTTCCACTGCACGGTACGGCTCGGTACGGTTCACTTTTTGGGGGTTTTCCACTGGGTACAGTACCTGGTACCTGGTACTTTTTTAGTACCACCTCGGTTGGGGTTCCAAGTGGGCCCACTCTAAAGTGGTACTGAACTGCAGTGGAAACGCAAACCATGTTGAGCCGAACCGTGCCATGCCGTACTGAGCCGTGCCGAGCTGAGTCCTACCACGCAGTGGAAAAGCGCCATTAGAAACCCTAGCGGGGGATAGCACAGTTTAGATATGGGCTCCAGGGGACCACTACTTAAAAACCCTAGTAAGGGTGTCACCGAGCTAGAAAACAGCTATCCTCCAAAGGTCCTAACTGAAGATTGCCAAGTCCACAGAGAGTGGGCTATCTACTTAAAACCCTAACAAGGGAGACAGCATAATCTAGGCAAGGAGCTCAAGGAGACCATTACTTAAGTACCCTAATAAGGGGAGTAGTCGCCGAGCTGGAACACAGCTATCCTTGAATAGCAGTTTCCTCAGGCAAGGCTGAAGATTGCCCAGAGCACTAGGCATGGCAAGGACACTTTGAGGAACGAAAAACCCACTATGCCACGCCGTGGTGCATGCCTGTCCACCTGCAAGATCACAAGGAGTAGGGGTGGGAATCACCAGAGGCCTCACGATACGATATTATCTCAATACTTGTGTCACGATATATTATTATTGTGGTTTTAAATATATTGTGATATTCTGCGATATATTGTAATTTATTACCTTTTTCCAACTTCAAATTATGTCCCCAAAGGAAAACTTTGGCAACATCTGTTTTAACTAAAAAGAAACATTTCTCAGTTTGTTTATCTCACTTCAATTGTATTGCTGCAGTGCAAAACGGGATAGTCAAGCAGACAAACTGACCAACACTTTCAGGAAAACCTGTCATAAATGTTGTAATTGTTTGTTGGCAAACTCAATTATTTGTATTGCAGTCTAATCTAGTCCACCTTAATTAAATGTAAACAGGTATGTTCACACAACCAGCCAAGCTGGAAACACAGCTGTGGCCATCTACTTGAAACCTTAATACAGAGGAGACAGCCCAAAGCATGAGAAATAGGGAAACTGCCTGCTTTAAAAAATACCCTGAAATCAGGGGAGGCAGCGTAGCATAATAGAAAGGAACCTAAGGGGGACCGCCTACTTAAAAACCCTAGAAAAAGGGGAGGAAGCCCAGTCCTGCTGTCTGAAATATTAGGCAGGAAGCTAAAATAACTTGGGAAGAAGGGAGAACCCGTTCAAACTATACAAAAAGGAGGGATATTCCATCTGGCCAAGCTGGAAACATGAATGTCCTCAAACAGCTATGTTTCTAAAAGCAACGAGCCATCTACTTGAAACCCTGATACAGGGGAGACAGCTCAAAGCATGGAAGGACTCAGCGCCTACTTGAGAGGGATTGTGCTTGAACCCAACCTAGTCATAGAAGCCAGGCTGGAACACAGCTGCCCTCAGACCGCTATATCCCAGAGCAAATTAAGTTTGAGCTGGAGCACAGCTGTCCATAGACAGATACACTCTGAGCAGGGGCTGTCCACTTAAAGCCCTGAGGTGGAGGAACAGTCTACGCAGCTCAAACTTAATATGCGGGATTCAGAGGGACCGCCCACTTAAAAATACCCTGAGACCTGGGGAGGCAGCCCACTCCTAAACCCATCTGGCTTAACACAGGAAGGGAAAAACCCTAACAAAGGGGATAAAGCCCATACTTAGCATGCGGGATTCAGGGGGACCGCATGCTTGGAAGATACCCTGAAATCAGGGGAGGCTGCCCAACATTACTACCCAGGCTGAGAAAACGCTCTGGAGGGGGAGCGAGATGTCATCTTTTGCGCTCGACTCCCAAAAGGGGGAGGAGCAGGAAAGTGCTGGCTCACTTGCCTTGTCTATGATCCTCAGATCATGACGGGCCAGACCCCTCAGAGGTAAAGAAACAGACCCCTCCTGAAGACAACAAAAGTTGGTGACGTGTTCTGCAGGCGCCCTCTTATACTTCCGGGCGCCCGCCTGTGACGTCACGGGCTATGTGGGACAATAGGATTGGAGTGGTTTCACACGTGCTTCAGACACTGGTCCTGCTGGCGGCAGTCCCCAAATGTCCGCTAGAGGACGCAGCTCAAGTTCCCTAGAAGGGGAACATACATTGATTTAGGACTGTTTAAATATTTGTACTGAAAAACAAGACAAAAATACTGAGGTGGATATTATTTTTTTGCACTGCATGCAACCAATAATGCAATCACTTTTGCAATGAATATAAGACTTTCTTCTCTGATTTAAGACCTTTTCAAGGCATTCATTTGTGGAAGAGCAAATTAAGACTTTTTAACACCTTTTTAAGACCCGCAGAAACCCTGTAACATGCCTGGATTCTTTATCTTGTGCGAATGTGCGTCATTTTATACATATTATCTTTTTTCTTTTTAACTATTCATTTCTTTATGGGCAAAAAGTATTTACTGATGCACATTTTCATTAATATTTTATGTGTATTTAGGTTTCTTTTTTATTTCATTTAAGTTAAAATTACAGAGAGCACCTTTAACAAATGCAAAACAGTGTATGCACAACTCCTACAAGTTTTACAATGATGAAAGTGTCAGGATTTGTATATGTGTGTAAAAATGACCTGAGCTGCCGCCTGCAATTCTCTCAAAGTCATAGGGGTTGTTAGTGATGCCATAGAGGTGGTTGTGGGACTCTAGCCACATACAGAGCTCACTGCAGTTAGTTACGCCAAGTGGAATCGCTCCTGCCCTCTTCAACAGTGCAACAGATGGGGCATCTACTCCTGAAACCAGATCCCGTCTGGTCAACAGCCCTGTCGAGTTAGGCATGCCTGTTAAAGAGAAAACAAAGAGTGTCATCCTACAGACATTTATCATTTTTGAAAGAAATTTTTGCCAAAAATAACATACCTTGCAGGGCAAAGGCCTCTTTAACAGTGATGGGTACTCCAAGCAGAGGTAGCCTGTCCTCCAACACCTCCTCACCTCCTGTCTCCTCCTCTATTAGTTTGTCTACCTGTGCAGCTTCCTGAAGTGCTGCAGAAAACCTGAAGAAATGAGAATGTGTTTTCAGAATCAGAATGAAATATAGGTTGATTTTACCCTTGAACTCACTTACCTGTCTTTGACCATGGCATTGATAAGTGGGTTTACTTCCTGAATGCGGTCAATGTAGGACTGGACCACTTCAACACTTGTTACCTAGAGACAAATTGTAAGGAAATCAGTAAGTGTTTAGGCTGCATAATGCAGTAAAACATACAAAAATGGTTGTGGGTACTTAACTGAGAGACAAACAGAAAGATGCAGATTGAAAACCTAGGTCAGGTCTACTGTGAATATGAATCATAGGGCTAAATGCCTAGAAAAATGTGCACACTGCACCGTGTTAAATTTGTCTGTTCTCAAAAAAAATGGGGAGCAGATATGCATGATTCTTCATTTAGAGACATTTTTGATTATTTTAAAACTTTAAATTCAAACTATGCTTCATCAAAGCTAAAAGATGTATCACATGCCCTGGAAAAAAAAAATCTCATTATGCCTTTGATATTATTACGGTGTAGCTTTTTTTGTCACTTTTTGGAAAAAAAAAAAAAGTTAAATATAATACTTTTATTTAAAAAGTTACTACTATATAAAACTTCTATATAATATTAAATATATATTACTATATATTTAATATATTTTAAACTACTATATATTATATATCTTATCATTTAACGTGAGGATTATTTGTTTTTGTTTTGTTTGTTTTTTTGTTGTTGATTTTGTTTTTTCGTACAAGCAAATGAGGGAATTGAAAATAAATAACCCATATAAAATCTGATTTTCAGACGAAATAACTGGTCTGGATGCTTGATACACATACTGTACCTACAGTAGCCTATAGGAGGCTTTAAGGAGGCCCTAAACAATATAGCTATTGATTTCACAACTACTGCTGACCTTTGAACAGCCTAGGAAACTCGTGAATTCCTCTAAACTAGTGAGCCAATGCAAATACGCGCCCCACTCTGATTACTTACATTAAAAAGAACTGTGATCAGAAGACAACATATTTTGTTAATAAACTATGCTATAAAACTGAAACTGTGTTGAAACTACAACTCCCAGCATTCATTAAAATTCACATTGTCGTATCTCTTCCTCATAATGGGTGTGAAATAAGATCTTTACCGTAGCGTCACTCAAAGAGTAACTAAAATGTCATTACGGTTATGCTGTTAATAATAATTATCAAGCCATAAAGCCTACGCAGTTTTTATTAACATCTTACTTCTTTCCGACGAATCTTTCGGGCAAGCTGCATCGCTGAGAGCAGCAGAAGTGGGTTAGTGATAGGTGGGAGTCGCGAAACTCCATGCCTCTGCTGGGGTGCGAATAACTTAAAAGCAGCGAATAGCATCCAAACCACAGCTCGAAGCAATCGGCCCAAGAACCGCTCGAACCGGGTCAAAGCCATCGTCAATGAACAGCAATGACACCAGCACGCAGCTTGGTTTAACAGGAATGAGCTCTTTACTGCCCTCTGCAGAGCGGTGTTACTGAATCCCTGCAGTTTAATGTTACGCAGTCTTACCTTATTCAGATTTTTGAACAAACTTCACTGAGTTTATATATATATATATAAGGCCGTAACCATGTCTTGAACATTGGATTGGATTGATGTATATATATATATAATTCTATTTTGTATTTTATGAATATTATTTTGTATTTTTTTTGTATATATTTTAAATACTAATTATACATTTCATAGGCTTTTATGCATTTTTAGGGGAGACCGGGGATGGTTGTAACATTTTTGACATTTCTATCTGTATCTTGGAGTTCTTTTAAGCCAGTGCATTCAAAATGTGATACAAACTAGTTACAAGTGTCTGCTATTACATGACACATCTGTTATATTTGCAGCACAAACAGAAAATTAATTGTTTAGTTTCAAACATGAGGAGTGAAATGTTACAATTCACCCCATAGTCCGGGTTAGTTGCAACATTCCCTGGGGTGAAATGTAACCTTGTGATATATTTTCAACATAATTAGTGTGTGTGTGTGTGTGTGTGTGTGTGTGTGTGTGTGTGTGTGTGTGTGTATGTGTATGCAAGCATGTTTCTGTCAGTAATGGCAATTGGCCATAATAAAAGTGAAGTTGAACACTTGAACTTTATTTGTGTTTGTGTGTGAGCATGATTACGGAAATCCCAAGAGGCCATACTGAGAGACATCACTCAGTTTGGCTTTCTCTTCCAAAACTTAGCCATACTGAAATTCAAAGAAAACATACTAATACAACAAAAATTTGCTTGGGGTAGCTTGCAAAATGTTTCATTGTTACAACTAACCTGGAGTCTTGTAGCCATGAACTAGCTCACCTTATAGCTAACAACCAAAACATTAGCCATAAAACAACCAAAAACAAAAAAAACAAGAAACCTTTTCTGTACAGGAAAAAAAAATTCTACAACATTTTTTAAAAATTGTAAAACTTTTTTTTTTACATTCAGGGCTGACATGCAGTTTTATTTCCATCTGTGAGTTACAGTTGTGTCAAAATATATTTAGCCTATTTCCTGTAGCTCTCACACTCTTTTAGGACTAAATATGCACACACAAACACACTATAAATAGACAACATGTAAATAACATATCAATTGAACTAAACCCCAACGTTTAAAGAAAAAGGAATGAGGGTTTGAAGTCCACATTTAACTCTGCTGCCAACTATTGATGAACCATGGCAGAAGATTTAGACTGTTGATATTGTTTTGATCTGAAAGTGAAAATTTATGCAAGTAAAATTAACATATTTTGTTTGACATTACATAGTAATAATAATATTGTTTTGATGTTGTTTTGTTACAAAAATATGTGTAGGCTTCATAAATTTAGACAGTGAGTTATAAGTTCAAGGAATTTAATTCAATCAATTGAAAGTTGTGGAGTTCATACTGGTGATTCTCATTTTATATGTTCGTAAAAATGTCATATAATCATATATTCAAATAAAATGTCATACAATTACTGATGAATTTGTTGTTTTCTTCTTGCATCACACTAAATTTTATAGGCCCTAGTTCATTTAAACAGGGAAAGAGTTATTTGTATGGAGCTAAACATTTGATATTTGACTCTATTAAATAATACATTAATATTAACAAACTTCTCGACTTTTTGTAAACTTTCCTGTTTTGGATTAGGAATATAGGCTAATACGGCTATTGTTTACGTGAGTAATTCATAAATTGAATGTGGCGAAAAAAGAAACAGATAGTATCGGCAAGGCAAAACACGGTTTGGAAGAAGAATTGTTCATGTACTCATTAAATTCACGAAAAAACATTGCCTTTAACATTTACCTAGTCTAATTGTTTTAGAAAACATTTCAAACTATAAATCATCTTATAGGCTGTTTCAGGTTAAGCATATGGGCAAATTCACTGGGTTAGGTTTTAATAATGTCATTAAAGTAAATTATTTCCCAACAATCGTCTGATTTAGCTTAGATGGTAAAAAAATAGTGGTTTCATTCGGATGAGAAGAGTTCACCAGAATGAGAGGAAGCATAGAAATAATTGCACAACAGTGACTACATTGATATGATGCAATACTTTCATTTCAAACGATGGGTCAGTGGCCTGGTTTTGTATGCTGACTCACGACGATGATATCATCCAAAACACGGACTGCATGTCTATGCATGCACTTTGCAGTGTGACATGAAACGTAAAGATGACATCATAGTTAAGCCACGCCAGCGCACTGGCCGCTCATTGGCTCGAATGCTTGATCGATGTATTATGCAGCCAATCAGAAGCCAAATTACGAAAGCTCATTTCACAAATAAAGGCAAATGTAAAAACTTATTTTTGATGTGCTTAGTGCACCGCTTTCAAACTCATTTAAGCTTAAATTTACATAAAATGCAGCCTGTGGCGTCCGGCTATTTTATGGAAACAAAATGAAGAATGCAGTGCAGAATCATACGGGCACACGTTGGAGCATTTACTGCGCACGCTCGACGCGCAATGTCCAGCCTTGCCTAGACCTGCCCCTATTCTTCACCAATGAACGGGCAAATTTACAAGCGGCATAAGCGTTTCACAATGGCCGAGACGGATAGTGACAGCTTGCGAATGAGATGTTGTTGACAAAACACCGAAGATCTGCTAAATGCAACGTTGGTACCCAAACGAGAAATTATTTTCTTTGATCCTACTAAAACCAGGTACAGTGCCATATTCTAGGGCAGCCGCAAGGGCCCGGATACGTGCATGCCGTCCCCATACTTAAAGATGCTTTTATTATAATATCGCATGTCTAATAGAAAATAATAATAAGCTAAGTCTGCAAGACGGTATTCGCTTTGAAAATCGATAAAGGTGAAAAGCACATTGCATTTACAGCAAGCCCTTTAGCGGTCATGTCATTTCAGCAACAGTCCGCAATGGATCCTGTCTGTAGCCAAGCTTGACAGATGGTGCGGACACACCGCATTTCTTGTAGCCACTGGAATTATTTTGCTGTATTCTATGTTTATTTAAAGAGCTTGCAAATAAGATTTGTCCCATATGCGTTATAGCTGCATCTTTGGCACAATTTTACTCAGTCTTGCTGTCGCCGTTTATTCGGTTTATTGTGATTCATAAGCCCATGCCTAAACATGTAATGAGGCATCATTGCTTATTTTTAAACCATATTTAACCCCCTTTTTTGCAGGTGGTTTGTTAGTAGAAGTCGTTGGGAGTGAAGCTACCGGCTACAGCTAACTTACAGATATTGGGAAGGAATCTGCTTATCGGAATTGCCGACGATAACGCGAGACCTTTCTGGACCGGAATATGAACCATGGCAACCGCATCACTCGGAAAAGAGCCCGAGCGCACTTTTCATCATTTGCGTTCATCTGCCCTTTTTGGAGAATATTTAATCGGGTAGTTTTTATGTGGTTTACAGCATTGTACGGCCTTTTATTAGTTATTGACCTGTTTTTGTAAGCAATTATTTGTCGTGCATCTCACTCGGGATATGGATATTTGGACTTGGTTGCGTTAAAGGGACCCGCTGCCTGCCTGTCCATCATTATGGACCAAGATGATAACCAAGAACCATGCGAACCCCCTATGCATGCCCTTTACGGGCCTAACCGGATACGGCCGTCATCGTACCGGGCTCTGCGAAGTGCCGTGTCCAGCCTGGCACGAATTGACGATTTTTTCTGTGAAAAAATCGGTTCCGGGTTTTTCTCAGAAGTCTTCAAGGTAACCTTTCCTCGTTTTATCCTATGTTGTAGGCTTATTGCAGTGGTCATGACTCATGCTCTTCCTGATTGATATGTGGTTGCAACTTTTGATGAGATGCGCTTTAAAGGGGTCCTATTATGCTCTTTTACAAAGTCTTGATTTTGTTTTGGGGGTGTACTAGAACATGCTCTCATGCTTGGTGGTTCGAAAAACGCATTATTTTTCACATAATTTACATTATTAAAATACCTTTCTCCCCAGGCTGGCACTATCGGCTCGATTAGTTCCGGCTTTGATGAAGGTCCACCTTCCGAAAAAC